TATATATATATATACCCAGTTTGGACAGTTATTATGCTAGTTGTATTTGTGAGGATAAAATTTATTGTTGAACAAATACAACCCTTTCGGTCAATTAAGAATGTTATTAACCACTCAAACCTGAACATTTAAGAAAGTAAAAGTGAGTTTTGCTTTCTTATTGCAAAATCTGTGTGTACGATTAGCGTGCATTATTAATATACAACTTCATTAAAACTGAACATTTGTGCACTTGAGAGAGAAACAGAGAACATAAAGCAACACTGCATAACTTTTTACCCAATTATTAGCTTAATTTGAGACATATACAATTATTTTTAGCTCGGTATATAGCAATTGGCTGGTATCGATGCTGGTATTGAATTATATATCAACGGTTATCTGTCAATCAAATTTTTTTTGTTATAGCATCTGGATTCATATGTTGCAGCTAATATAATATAATATAGCAACGGTTGAAATAAGAAATAAGAATAATTTACTTTAGCATTGAGTTACATCCCAGTGTTTATGAGGATGGACATCTGTGTCTTCAGCAGGCGTAGAGCTAACAGAACTGGCAGCGTTGCGAGGCAAGGGCTCAAACATGTACGGCTGTAAGCCTTCTACACCAAACCAAGCTTCTGCCGCCCTGGCGTCCTCTTCCACAACATCTTCGTCCCCGCTTTCCTCCTCTAAATAAAAAATGTATGACGAACCTTCCCGCTCCCTTGATAAACGACCAATCACACTCACTTTATCGTGTAAAGTCAGGCACCACTCGGGAGAATTCCGAACTGCAACCGTTGGAACAGCCGCTTCCCTACGACTATGAGAACAAGAGCTAACTAAGCTAAAAGTGGTTGCTAGGCAAAAAAAAAACTGATCAGACGTACATTTGTTTTGGTTCTCTGATGTAGAATATAATCTAGAGGGGTGAATGTGGCCTTGTATTTATAAGTAACTCGATGACCTTTTAACCTGCTGGTTCAGATATGTCTGCTCTCGAATTCCAAAACTCAAAGGGAGAATGTTTTATTTTGCAACAGTGCAGCGCAGCAAGTTGCTTTCAGGGGGGCTAAACTCTGACGTTACAGATGTACAGCTCCTAGTGGCTAAAAGGTAGAAGGTGATGTTTTAACGACCACTAAATAAATTTCAAGTATTATTCTTGACGATGTGATTCTAGGTGTTTTTCTTTCCCTTTTAATCACTACAAAGCCATGTTAGTAAGAGTTGTGCAACGCAACACTTCCATGCACACACTCCCCCCATGCAACCCAATCCAGCCAAGTGAGGTACTTACATGTAGCTTAAGTGGTGACCCAGTGTGTTAGCTCCAGCACCCTGCCTCTCTACCTTAAATAATCTCTCTCACTGCCATAGTCCATTAAGGAGCCCGCCACATCAGCAAAGTCCTCCAGGACCAGGCTAGTAGAATCCTCACCAGATGGCATCTCCGCGTCTGGTGCCCAAGGGCGCTGATAGGGGCCATGCTCGGGGGGCACATTGCTGCCAGTTGTCCTTGGTCCCTGTGGATCATGTTTGAGGGTTTGAGATGGTCCGGGATTGGACACCTGGTAGGCTGGTTCTGGACGCTGTTGTTCTTTGGCGCCGCCACCATCACTACCGCTGCCACCTTCACTGCCCTGAGAGGAGGGTGCCAGGACATGGTAGAGGCTTGGAAGGCGGATGTCCAACAACACACCACTCTTAATGTAGAGCTTGTTGTTGAGGTTGTAAAGTTTTTCGGAAATGTCATAGCCAAGCATTACGGAGAAGAGACGGGCAATGTAGCGGTCCTTGGATATCAGCATATAGAGACGGCGGCGACTCCATGAGACATAGCGAGAGTCTTCTTCTGCCGTCAGTGTCACCTACAGAAAGTTCAAGGTCAAACCCCTTCATTTAAACACACTTAAACACATTAAAATGTCTGTCTACTTTTGGAAGTATTATCTTCCTGCTTTATTAGAGCATGCCTTTCTGTTTCAAAGCCTTGCAGCAACAGAGTAAAGATGGACTCTTTGGTTGCTTCATTGAAAATAATTATTTAAAGGTATAGTGAACTATTTTTCCTTAAATTGAGGCAATGTGACAGTATGGTGCTATCACTATGCCTCCAACTGATTAATCAAAGGGGTATCCTTTTGTCTGACTGATAAATGTGACTTTCCCCTGGGGAGTCTGTGGCCTCAAATCCCTCCCGGGGAATCTGCTGTGTACCTTGCAACAGTAAGAAACACCCAAGCCACCTATTCAATGACTGTGCATGAGTAAGACAATCCTACCTGCTCCTCTGGGGTGCACGAGCATGCTCAAACCCCCTTGACCTTGTGCACAGCTCTGTTTATCGTTTGTCTGCATTGCTTGAAGACCCCAAGCAAAAGAAGATACTTACATTACGCTATGTCAGATTTTCAATAGATTTACATAAACACTACAAGTGCACATGCACAGAAACAAGACACTAGCTTGAGACAATGATGTGCAGTAGCATTAGGTGAGCACGTCACATAGACTGGCATGAGCTCACAGTCGAAAGATTGTCCACTATACCTTTAATGAAGAGTCATATGAAAAAATGGCTGCAGAGTTAGCTTCAACAGACGAAATTTAAGTGATCTGTATGTTGGATATAATACCTGGAACTTCCCCTCTTCGTTTGGTCTGAGAGACTCCCACTCAGGAGAGTCGAGGAACTGATGGCGGTGAATGTAATGCAGGAACTGACCCTCCAAAGAGACATTGATCCTGTGAGCAAAAATGAGAGAGATAAGGTCAAACTGAAGAGGAGAGGATTAAGATGTTTGTGGGACAGACTGAGGTGGAGGTCTTTGCAGTCGTAATCTGTGATGCAATATGCAAAGTAAGTATTGTGGAGAGTTAGCATATTTTACAATTTCTGTCCAGTTATCTATTAACCACAGGTGAGGCATGTGGAGTCAAGAAGTCATCTCCATGCCATGTATCTGTCAGCCCAGCACAGGTGAGTCCAATCTGCACAGGCAGTTAAACTGTGCATATTGGACTCACCTGTTCCAGTGTGTCCAATCTACTATTAGCTGTGAACCATATCTGAGATCTCTGGTCATGGAGTTAATGTTTCGGAAAGAAAATCCAGATATCTCTTTGCATTCTGACACTAGGAAAAAGCAAGGAACTTCCTGCAACGAAGGGTTCAATTAGTCAGTTTAGCCAGTTCTTTGTTCAGGGTCCAGCAAAAGTGGTCTAAGTTCAGTGAGTCCAGAAACTAAGGCTAGATCCTGGCTGATAGGTAAGACATTATTCTGGAACTCAGACAAGAGCAGCAGGGAAATTGCAGCTAAAACCCAGGCTGAAATTTCACCGCTAGTAAAAAGCCACCAGCAGTGCCCCTCTCTGGAGAAAAAAAAATAAAAATAAAATGACAGTAGGAGATTGGAGGAGGACAGCTGTAGATTGGAGAAGCATTGGAGAAGTAGACAGAGCACCAGAGCAGGGTGAAGGCGGCAGCTGGCCAAGGCTGGCTCTGGAGGCTAACAATGGGAAGTCTAAGGAGGACAGCAGTAAATTGGAGATGTCAGCTGGGCAGAGAACACTAGAGCAGGAAGAGGAGTCCCTGCCTTTTTATCCCTTGGTGTTAACATATATTAAGAACCTAATTTCCTCAATGAAACAAGGAGAGGACACTATCTTGCTCCATGAAAGTTTCTCTAAGGGTGGAAACAGTTTGAAAAATCTTAAAAAGGCTTGCTTTAATCTTTTAATGTGATCATCCTGGTTAGGGGTATTCAATTTCAGTCTTCGAGGTCGGGTTTCTTGAAACTCTTTTGTTGTGTGTCTGCTTCAGCAAATCTGAGTCGAATAATCAGGTCATTAGGACTCTGGAGAACTCGACTGCATACTGAGGAGGCGAATTATCCACATGTATCAGTGTTTTTGCTTTTTTCTTCAAATAAAAAACTCTTTCCTTTGTTTTGTTTTTTTCTTCTTCAATATTTAGGTCAAAACAAAATTAAATTACAGTTAAGTAAAACCTAAAAATACAAAACATATGTTGGCCGCTTCGAGTCTGCATTTGTGGCACATTAAAAACAGGCACAAAATCCGCTTGCGTAACATCTCAGCACTTCCTCGAAAGCAACTGTTCTGGTATTTGTTTGTTGTTCCAAATTTGTCTCAGTCTCACAGCGCTCTCTACCTCATGCACAAGATTTAATTCAAGGTAAAGGAAAGCAGGCCGACTCTACTCCCTTATTGTGGGTATAAAGATATAACTAAAATGCTGGTAGATTGCACTGGGACCCACACTGATGAGTCACGGACAGAAATATTCTGTTTACAACATTTCTCCGCTGTAGCTTCGAGAGATCTAATGCAGCTCTGCTCTGAGGATGTTTGGATGAAGAGAACATTTCCTGTGAGGAAAAAAGCTGCCAAGAGTCAAAACTGACATCTAATTTTAGCAAAGTTACTGATAATAGCTCAATAATAGACATATTTATTTAAAACTGTCAAACAAGGCAAGACAGAACCCTCTCTAGTAACTTAGCTTCATCCTGTGAAATATTATCATCTTAAAAGGATACATCTTTTTTTTATTTAGATAACATCTACAAGAGGAACTTTCTTGATCTTTTACAAGTACATGGTATCATGCTAACTCAACATTTATTATCTTGAGTAAGACCGACTGCAACAGCTTTGATTCTTAGAGCATAAACAGCAAACCTCCAGAACTTTGCAAAAGATTCAGAACCACCAGGGTTATTTGTGTCTAAGGATCTTGTTCATTTTTAATTTATGTATTTATTTATTTTGGGCTGAGTGGGCAGTTCTTGTGCTGCAGGATGGTGCAGTGGCAAAATCTTCTGTGTTTGATTCCTGACCCAGGGTCTTTCTGCATGGGGTTTGCAAGTTCTCCCTATGCATGTGTTGGTACTCTGGGTTCCTCCCACAGTCCAAAAACTTGACTGTTAAGTTAATTGGCTTCTCTAAATTGCTCTCAGGTGTGAGTGTGAGTGAGCAAGCATGGTTGTATGTCTCTGTGTTGCGCTGCGACAGACTGGCGACCTGTCCAGGGTGTACCCCGCCTTGCCCATAGACCGTCGGAGATAGGCACCAGCCCCACCGCGTCCCTGACAAGGACTAAAGGCTAATTTATACTCAGAAACCAGGTCATCTGCATGTGACACTCTGGTGCACCTCTCCAAAATTGTAGGTGACCGCAGACAGGAGGCCTCTCATTGGTCAAATCTACATCCGCTCTACACTATGCGTACTTCCTGTTTGGTACCTTACCGGCTTGTTTTGTTTGTATGACCGCCATTGTGGAAAACGACTCGTGAAGATGGACCAGCTAGAAGAGCAAGGTGCCCGAGAACGCTGGGACCCTTTTTCCACCTGGATACCCGCACCTTTTTGCCTTCATGTCCCTCGGTTGTCGGACAAACTTGCCTCCACTTCCTCACCGCCTCGGCCGTATCTAGACCCACAGTTAGTTCCTGATTGTCCCTCTTGCATTGTGGTGTGGAATAACATAGCGCAGACCACGCTTCAATATTGGGCATAAATCAAAAATATCTGAGATAAACTCACTGCGACACACTGCTGCGGGAGGATAACCATCCCTTTAATAAGAGAAAATGGATGGATGGATAGACAGTTTCCCAGGGCTGCAGGAGAAAGGGGGTGCTTCAGCACCAGATAAAGCTAAGAGCTTATTCACACGTCTGGTCCAGGATTTGGTAAGGGAGAAAAATCACACCTCTGTTTTCTTTCAGTTTGCTTTTACACAGAAGTTTTGACTCTGTCCACACAAAGCCAGGTTCGGGACAATCAGCTAAATGCCCTGGTCAGATAGGGAGTAAAGTCCATGCAAAGAATTTGAAACCTGAAACATGAATGGGAAAACTTTAAGCCACCCCCTGTGGAAACTTCTTTAGGACAGTTTGAACAACTTAATTTGGCTAAAAAGTATCAGGTGAACCACCTTGTCACAGTGTTGGGTTCATTGTTCTTCTTCCTCCTTCTGTGGCAACATTACAGCATCACCCACTGGTAGGGCAAAACAATTACTACACCAGCTATGGCTCTTACAGTCAAACTTTTCTGAGCCAATAGCATCTTCAGGCTCTGACTGGACATCCCACCAAGCAAACAGACATTGAAAAGGCATAGAAAAGATTACATGGTTATCATCCAAACAACGTCTACATTTGGTTGAAAAGTGAAAATGGGAAAAGTCGTAATTTTCAGATTGTTAAAAGGTTCAAGGTTTTTTCATTGTCTATTATTGGATTAAAGTGGGACGATATCAGACGGAACAAACGCAGCCCAATTTTCAACAACTATTTCTGGACTAAATCAAGACTGGCTAACCAGATTTAGCCTAAAAACCATCTAAATGATGTCTGGTGTTTGGGCGAATGGCCTTTACCCAGCGAACCCATGGCCTGAAGTTGAATTAGTCCTTGTATATTTCTTATTGCCCTAAATAATTTCAGATTCCAACAAAACATATTGTACAATGTGTTACTGAAAGAATCAATCGGTCAAACAAAGTATTGTTTAAATTGAACTTGGACTTCTCACTTGTTGCTTCATCTAATGAGTTCTGAATAAAATGACATTGGGTTTTTTTTCTCAGTTTGAGATCTTGATTCAGTTTTCACCACTTATTACTAAAACTGAAACCTAAAATAGTGGTAGAATAATCTAAATTGGAAGTGGCCATTGAAAACCCCTTCAAGCTTTATGCTTTTATGTGTAATAAAGCAGAATTGTCACCTTCTATAAAATGATGAACAACTGATCAATTATCAGGGATAAATTAAGCTTTGAGAAATATGAGATAACATATTAACGGACATATAATTGGTTAAATACTCGTTACTTTATAAAAAAAACTGGTCTTTGTGTGTGATCAGGGTAAATCCAAATACTCCCCCCTCAGTCATCTGTAAACACTGCAAAAAAAATCTATAAAAAATGTAAATAAGGGCAATTGTCTGGATAAATTAGATGAAATGCAAATACAATAATTATTCTTGCTTTAAAACAATGCTGTTTAGATATTCCATCCATCCATCCATTTTCTTACACCGGGCATCCCCAAATTCGGTCCTCAAGGCCCCCTGTGATTGCAGTAGACCAAAAGCCTGTTAATCAGCTTTCAATTAAAATCAGCTGTGCTAGAGCAAGGAAACCTCTAAAACCTGCAGGACAGGGGGCCTTGAGGACCGAGTTTGGGGATACCTGTACACGCTTAATCCCAAGCAGGGTCGTGAGGGGTGCTGGTGTCTATCTCCAGATGTCTACGGGCAAGAGGCAGGGTCCACCCTGGACAGTTCGCCAGTCCATCGCAGGGCAACACAGAGACACACAGGACAAACCATTTACACACACACACACTCACACCTAAGGAGAATCTAGAGAAGCCAATTAACCTAACAGTCATGTTTTTGGACTGTGGGAGGAAGCCGGAGTACCCGGAGAGAAAAACATGCTAACTCTATGCAGACCCTGGGCCAGGAATCGAACCCAGAACCTTGATGGTGCAAGACAGCAGTGCTACCCACTGGTCCACTGAGCAACCCTGTTCAGATATTATTTACCTGAAATAAGTTAAAGTCGTAGGGAAAACGGCTGTTTCAACCGTTGCATTTCCGAATTCTCCCGAGTGGTGCACAACTTTACCTGAGTGAAGAAAGTGAACGTGATTGGTCGATTATCAAGAGGGTGGGATTGTTGTGCAGAAAGATTTGCAAGCAAGTTTCGTTGTGACCGGCTTGTCAGAAGCATCTTGCTAACCAGTTAGCAACTTAATGCTAGTAGGTACCCAATGGGAAATAACATTGGGACCAAGTAGCACTAAATATAAATGGATGTTTCTGAGCTTCAGCACACCTGATTCAGATGATTGCAGTTCAGCAATGCCTGATAATCTGCTATCAATTGATAACAGGTGTGTGAAAGCTGGGAAACATCTAAAACATGCAGGGCAGTGTGCCTTGAGCACCAGGGTTGAAAAAAACTGGTGTAAAAGGCTTCCAGCCGTACATGTTTGAGCCCTTGCCTCGCAACGCTACCAATTCTGTTAGCTCTAAGCCTGCCGAAGACACAGATGTCCATCCCCGTGAACATTGGGACGGAACTCAATGGGAAAGTAAATTACTCTTATTTCAACCGTTGCGTATAATAGCTGTGACATATGAATCAAGATGCTATGACTGAAAAAATTGGATTGACAGATGAACGTTGATATATTATTGGTCGAATTTAGGTGTTCAGGTTGACGTATAACTTACTGGCCTCCCCTAGATAAGAAAAAAAAGACAGGATTTTTTTTAAGAATAGAAATTTTCTAAATTTTGGGACAATATCGTCTGATAAAGATTTATAACATGTTTAAGCCAGAATGATTTGATATTTAAATATGATCTCCCTACGACTGTAATGGAGTTTCTAAATCATTAGCACTCATTAACACTCAAACACTCCCCACCTCCCAGACAGCAGAAAGGAAAGCTGGTCGATGTACGTCTTCCCCTCCACAGCATACATCTCTCCAGCCTTTAGCTCCACAGCCTTGTTTTCAAAAGCCTTGGCGATGTCCTTGAACACCTGGACAGGCACACCCAGCGGCAGGTAGACGGCCCGGTAGAGGGAGGTCAGCTCCTCACTGCGGATGCCCTCCTGCTGAAGCCGGTAGAGGAGGTGGCAGATCTGCAGCAGGGAGACCACCAGCAGCAGGAGGTTCCAGGAGAAGACGTCCATGCCGCACACGGTCAACCAGCCCCACAGGGTGAGGCACAGGAAAGCGGGGGACAGAAAGCCGAAGATGAAGAGGGCGCCGAAGGCCCCGCTGCCTCCCATGTAGCCCAGGAACATGAAGGTGTTTCCCAGATGGTAGATGGCCCCCTCTGTGTTGTTGCTCCAGCCATCGCACACAGGTGGAGAAAACAAGCTTTCCCACAGGGTGGAGTTTTCTGCGCTCATGTTTTCGGTTTGTGAAATCTCACACAGCTCTTGATGCACAGAAAAAATGAAGGAACAGGATTTCAAATATCTAGAGTAACTCCTCTCCTGTCAAAAGCTACAAGCTGAAGTGTTTTGCTTACAGCTGGATAAAAATAAACAGTAAAAATGTTTGTTCCCTCGCAGTCTAGTGGAAAATTCTTCAATGTGAAGAAGTTCTCACGCCTCCGTTTGCTCCAGAAACACAGCTGGAATGGGTCTGCCCTTCTTCTCCTCCTCCTCTCATCCTCAGTCCCTTCCTCTGTCCTCTGGCTCCTCGCCTTGTCTTTGCTCTCCTGCCTGTTCCTCTCAGCCACCAGCCAACACTGAAGAGCCAACAGCTGGAGAAGAAGGGATAAGGGAGGGGACACTGATAGGGCCCTAAAAGGATAACCATGTTTGGAATTAAAACCCAAGGAGGAGAGCGACAGACAGAGAGCAGGCCTGCTACTTAACATAACAGAGAGACAGGGACAGGAAACATGGAGTAAAAGATAGGCGGCATGATAAGAAACACACCTAGAGAACAGAAAAAGTGCCACACACCTAAAGTTTCATCCAAACTCCATGAGTCCAGTCCTTCCCACCCCCAGGACCGTGTCTTCACGGGTGTGTTTGTAGGCACAGAAATAAACAGAGAAGGAGTGGAGGTCAGGTTTCAGTAAACACATACTAGCACCACCAGCGAGCACACGGGAAGCTCTCCACCCGCAACTCTAACAGCATCTCAGAAATATGTGGATTCCAGTCATTATAACAAAGATCAGGCTGCATGTATTCAGGGTATTTAAGACGTTACCACAATCACCAACTCAACTGAGGCGGGTTAGTGTGGGTTTTAATAGGACACTTTGAGTAACTTATTTCGTATTCGAAGGAAAATAGAAAAGCGAGTGATGTGGCATGTATTACCAGCTGGCTGAAGCTGGTAATAGAACATCTTCATAACCAAAAATATTCCCCATCCGCTGATCTGATCTTTCTTGTCAGGAAAAATTTAAGTGGGCTTTTTTTCCTGAAAGCTGACCAGCAGTGCACAGCCTCAGGTGTGGGAAGTTATAGGGAAGTTTAGATCTGTGCAGCTTCCTCTAGCATCTCGTTTAGAGGATTTAAATTTCATGTTAAGATTGATGGGATATTTTTAGTGTTTTTGATACATCTTGTTTCTAGCCTGGATATGTTATTGCTTCATAAATATCAACTGAACTGCATAAATAAAAATGAATCTACAAGTGAAATTTGGAGGTTTTCAACAATAAATGCATCTTTTCCTTTTAAAGATAGGCCGATATCTTTTAACCCATGTTAGCATTTCTTCCTTGTATCTGTATCATCTGATACTTGGATGAATTTACTGATTCATTGATGCATTCGGCAGCAATTTCTTGAGATCCTATGCTTTGCTCCTCCATCCATTTGCTAACAATTGTTGATTGTTTAGATTATTGTAACTTTTTTCATTTCTGTGAAGTAAAAGATAAAGCAACATCAGCTCCCAAGAATCAATTTCAAAACATTGAGGATGTTATTCTGATGTCATATTACCCTGTATCAGTCATCTCTACTTCCAGTAACTGTGGTATAAACTACACTAATCACCGTGTTAATTTTAATATTTCTTCTCACATTAAACTAATCAAATTTCCTCATAACTCAGTTTCTTTCAAAGGTTTTCTGACTCTTTACGTCACTAAACACTTGCTTAGAAAAAAAAAAACTAACCACTTGAAGCAATTTTTAAACTTAATACCATTTAGATCAATTCCATTTCTTTCTTAATGATCTGATTTATTCAAATAAAGGGTTAATATGTAATAAAAAAAAAAAAACTGGTTATCACTGCAACCAGTTTTCTAGCAGCGTTAGGATGCATGTCTACAATCAGAACACTTCAGTGACACTATGGAGAATGCAGATATGCCAAGTATTGACTCTACAGGGTCAGGAGTTATTTTTAAGCACAAGTGCATACCAGGAGCACCAACTGTGGGCCAGGCAAACCTTATTAACAGAGAGGGACATCAGCAACCTTTCTAAATGAATGTACAAACACTTTTATTGCATAGGACTTTTATTCATGATCACACAGCCTTTAAGATATTCAAACTGCACATTTTACAGAGTTAGAAAAAAAAAATAAAGCCATCCTTTCAAGTGCTTAATATCACATTTCTCTTCCAGTGGAGTTATAAATAAGAGTGTGAAAAAAAGAAAAGGATCTCCTGGGTCATCTTCCACTCACGCCATCACACTGCAGAGGAGACAAGAAATCATTCAGCTTTGTGTTGAAGTTATTTCACAAACTACAGATTAAATTATAGAGCACAGATAAATGTAAAAGTTACAGCAAGTCGAATTTATTTAGCAAAAGATTAAATTTAAATGCCTGTAATGTTGAATCATAAGAAAATGTTGAAACATGAAATAAACTCTGCATAGAGCTTCAGGATGGCTTCATTTATCCACAGCAGAGTGCAGGAAGCCTTGCATGGCGGACAGTTTGTTACCGTGCAGAAAATCAGTGAAAACTAACAACTTTTAAGTGACAGTTTCTGAACTGCATCAGCATATGGCATCTGAATGGTTCAGAGAAAGGGCAGCCGGTCATTTGCATAAAGCACCAACTCAGTTCAGCTGGGATTTAGTCTGTCAGAACACATCTGGCTGCAAGTTAAAACAGGAGGCTTCAAGCTCTGACAGATAAAATACTACATGTCAAATGATAACAATAATGCATTATAAGGGGTTTTTAAGTCGTAGGGAAGCGGCTGTTCCAACCGTTGCATTTCCAAATTCTCCTGAGAGGTGCCCGACTTCACCCGAGTGAATAAAGTGAATGTGATTGGTCGTTTATCAAGGGGGTCGGATTGTTGTGGCGGAAGGTTCGCAAGCAAGATAGGTTGTGGCCGGTGTCTAGGAAGCATCTTTCTAAACATTTAGCAACAGTTGCTAGTAGGTTCCCAATGGGAAATTCCATTGGGACCAAGTAGCACTAAAAAGACTAAACTACACTGTCAAGGAACGTTATGGACATCGGAAACATGCAGGAGGAGGTCGTGGATGAGTCTCCTCTGTCATAAATTTTTATTTAGAGGAGGAAAGCGGGACGAAGATGCTGTGGAAGAGGACTCCAGGGTGGCAGAAGCTTGGTTTGGTGTAAAGGCTTACAGCCGTACATGTTTGAGCCCTTGCCTCGCAACGCTGCCAGTTCTGTTAGCTCTACGCCTGCTGAAGACACAGATGTCCATTCCCGTGAACACTGGGACCAAACTCAATGGGAAAGGAAATGATTCTTATTTCTTATTTCAGGCGTTGCGTATATTAACTGTGACATATGAATCAAGATGCTATGACCGAAAAAAAATTTGATTGACAGATGACCGTTGATATATGATTGGCCGAATTTAGGTGTTCAGGCTGACGTATAATCATTCTGGCATGTTATGCCAGAATGATTTGACAATTAAATATGACTTCCCTACGACTTTAAGTGAGATTCTATGGCATTATATCTAAACTAGGGTTGTCAAAAGTATCGAAACTCAAAAAAGTATCGATACTAAAATGTTGTATCCGGATACAATACTCGTTTTTAAAAGTATCGATACAGTGCCGTCACCAGTGGCACCTAAGCAGTCATTCATCTAAAGTGCAGAATAGAGGACAATGCACTTTCTGAACACTGTGTGATTGAATAATTCTGTGCACTTTTCAGTTTCAGACTTTTTTTTGTAAGAGGTGCAGCTGCTGAGAATTATTTTTGTTTCTTAAAACTGGTTTGGCTAGCGTCATTGTTATGTGTGCAAAGCATAGCCAAGGAAGGAACACTTAATTTTAATTTTATAAGTTTTTTATCAAGCTTGCTTAATATTATGCACAGCATACAACCTTTATTGTGTTTATTTATTGTATTTTATTTATTAATGAAAATATTTCTGTTGAATTTTGGAGTCTTTGTTTTTATCCTTGTGGTATCGAAAATGGTATCGAGTATCGAATATTTTCCTTAGTATCGGTATCGAGTTGAAAAGTTTAGTATCGTGACAACCCTAATCTAAACATCCCTTACTGTTTGAAAAAGAAATGCAATACCAAAAGTCTGCAGAAAAGTAAAGAAATCCACTGAACAGGAAAATCTGTTTTAGCCGATTCTACCCATTTGTTAGGGTGTTCCATTATTAGTCATCTATGTGTTGGTTATATTACCTCCCTGTTAAGCAGAGTAGATAGAGTACATAGTCTTCCTTCACATAGTGTAACACTGTGTGTTTACAGAGGCTATTTTATGAGGACAGGCCTTCTGTCTGAATAATTAGCACAAATAACGGTACATCCCGGAGGCCAGATTGATAAAGAAGAACACATCTGTAATCCTGAGGCTTAGATGCAGAAGGGAACAAGGTCAGGGTTTTGATGGCGTGTCAGGAACTGACACGCACAGCTAAGCATCCACCTGATGCAACACATAGGCTGATGAGGTATAAGAAGCAGGAGATGACCTTGTTTGTTTTTGGATGCAATCGCGTGCTGACGACTTGAGTCCACAGCTGTGCTGAAACGCTGCACTTTCTCTGTTCTGACCTGAACTGATCTGGAATAAATTCTGTTTTACTCCTAGTTATAGTCCTTTTTATAGATTTTCCAAACCTTAAGTGAAAAGTGGTTAAACTTAGTAGATTGCTTCCAGAAAAAGAACTGGAAGGGTAAACACGTTGAGTGACCTTTAGAGGTACCCTGATGATGCGTTCTTACCAAACACATTCAGAGCGCCTGGTTTACATCCAAACAATAAGCAAGACGGCAATGAGGGGCGCCCAGAGGTGCAATATGGCATTAATACATTGTTTCATTGAACCATCAATGCAAATTAAACAGGTCTAAAAACTTTTGAAAGCCAACTACAAACTTTATGTTGGAAAGCTGTTTAAAAATGTGTGTGGCAGGAAACAAAACACTTACCACAGTCACACAAGAACAAAACACGGGAGTTAAACCTTGAATCCAAGTGACCTCATGCATTCTTTATGCGCCTCAATAAGGTCCCTGCAGTTCTCCTCTCCCTTCTCAATGATGCTAGAAGAGACAAATGACAAAAATGTTTTCCACGAGCAAAAGAGGGAAAATACCCGAGTCTAACCGGCTTTCTACTTACCAAGCATCTCTGACTTTTTTCGTCTCTGGACAAGCACAGCATGGTTTCAGAGGCTTCTTCTGCTCTGCCCCAGCAGTCACAGCAGGGGTCTCTACACTGGCAGCCGACAGGGACGACATCTTGGGAGCTGAAATACAGCAGATCCTTCAGACATGTTTCCATCAACACCAAACTTTTCCAGAAACTTTCTTACATTTCTCATGTTGATGTTATGACACCGAAGCATTTAATGACTAAATATTTACCAGGCTGGTGTTTAATACAGTTATAAAAGATAAAACACCACCATAGATTTAGACAAGCTGTAACGGTTCATTAAAGATTGTTTAATAATAATATGCATTTATCTCAGGTCAACAGTTGAGGGTTGGTACTAGGGTAATACTTTATCTGTAAATATCAAAGAAGAATGAAAACATTTTAGCTTAAAAACAATGATTGAACTGGGAGACCAGGACTCCATTAACCCTTTGGCATTTTCTCTGCAGGCAGGTTACATTCATAAAGATGTGAACATGTGATAAAACAACTGATCCCACATGCTGTCAATACTGAAAACTTTACAACATGATCAGTACTCCTTTAACACACAAAAAAAATAAATAAAATTTGGTGAGATTATCCACAATAAATCATCCACTGGTAAAGAAAAGACATTTTACTTCAACTCAAACCAAGACAGGTCACATAAAGCAGGTAAACGCTTTGGTTCAAGTCTTTTAAAATGTTTCAATTTTTAATTCCTATTCAGGTTTCAACCTTAGTCATTTAAATAACATGCTTCTGTCATTTTGCACATCTCTGATGTTGCTGCTATTTTTCAAATATCCATTACTGTAAAAATGTCCATAGCTATATACTGGTTATTTTTTTCTCCAGATGTAGAGTTTTATATTGTTAAAGCACTTCACAGTACAGTATTTTATTTTTTCTCTTTTAACTCTTCAATATTATGTTATTCATTTTACATTTTTTCTAATGTCCACATTTGTGTGATTTTTTTTCTATGATCTTTTTTCTGCTGTAAACACCAGAATTCCCCCATTGAGGGATAAAGGGGTTTTCTATTCTATTCTTAAACTTACAGACTCAAATGACAACACTTTCTAGGGAAGAAAAAATGTAGAATATAGCAAACTACACAAAAAAGTTATGTTTGCTTTATAATTACCTCCTCTTTACTTCAATACATTCACTGTTTTATCAACGTCCATTTATCCAATATTACTCTCTTTATTATAGGGCTATATTGAGACTTTTATAAGCAATCTCTGAGCACCTGCTTATTCTTTATCAGAAATTTGGATGTATCAAAAATAAACCTGAAATTAATTGATTAACTACAGAGGTGTCAAGTAACGAAGTACAAATACTTTGTTATTGTACTTAAATACTTTTTAGGTATCTATACTTTACTCCATTACTTATTTTTCTTCCTACTTCTGACTTCTACTCATTACATTTTCACACAAGTACTTTCTATTCCTTACATTTTTAAAACAAAAGTTACTCATTGCTCTTGGCTTTGGTTTAATGTTTATAAACATTTATTTCACGTCATGTGCGACATCCAATGCTAATCATAGGCTTCATCCACATCTAGTGAAAACTAGTGTAATTAGATAAGTCATATAACGCAAACACTCATTGGTTAGCTAAAGGAAATCATCAGAAGCGAGCAGGTGTTCTTCAAACTGCAAATGTGAATCATCTATGCCATGCTACAATGTCGGATTCAGAAAAAGATATTGAAATGTCTGAAAGGTTGAACACAGGCGAGAGATGGAGACCAACAGGACCTCCCTCATCCTTGGCCCTATCTCCAAGAATTTTTCAAAATAGTCGAAAAATTGAGCTTTCAGTTCACATAGTGGCATCTGGCTGTTTTTTTTTTTAAAGGTTACTTTATACTTTTATACTTTAAGTAGTTTTTTGAGCACACACTTTTTCACTTTTAATTCATTAAAGAGGTCAAGCTGATAATTCAACTTTTACTAAAGTGTTTTTAAACTGCATTATTTATACTTCTACTTAAGTAACAAATGTGTGTAGTTTTGACACCGCTGATTAATTATCATAATTTACTTTTTATGTTGGAGAAAGAAAAAAAATGAAAGCAGAACAGAGTTGTGGCAAGCCAGAATTTTTTTCATTTTATGAATTTAATTAATTAATTAATCTAATTTCTTTTCAATAATAAGAGCAACTGTTTGGAATAACAATATGACATTCAACAACATTCAAATATATTTAATATGTTTTGAAACGCTGTGGTTAACCTAATCTACAGGATTTTAAAGTTGTTTATTTGAGCTCTTTAAGACATTTTTATTGTTCATCTATTCAAACCTACCAAAAGAGATTCATTTATTAAATTTCTAAACCTTTGCTAGATACAAATCCAAGCGGATTATTGAATATTTCAAACATTTCTGTTTCTTTCACACATGCTAACAGATATGACGATGAGACTGGGAAATGTGAACAGAAACAGAGTTATTATACAATTTTAAGTTGTTGGGTTTTTTATTATTATTATTATTATTACAAAACTATGCATAAAATCAACAGAGTTTTGTTTAAATAATTAGAAAACGAGGGTATTTTCAATAGTTCCCCTGCTTGCCAGCTTTTCTATCGTTTGATAACCGTTTGGTAACGTTACAAAACGCTTACATAAAGTTAGCTAACACCAGCTAGCATAACACAGCTGACAAACGGTAGGACTCGTGCCAAGAAACGCCACATTTTAAAGAAAAACTGATTAAACTGGGATTTTTTTACAGGCTTGCTATCAGAAACGAGCCTGAGTTGTATTAAATAAAGCAGACTTACTTGATACAAAGCCCGGCTCTCACACCAGCCGACACTTCACCTTCAAACTGAAGCTACCATGCGGGGAGATAGGTCACGTGTTCTATGCCAGTATCCCGCATGATCACAACCGACAACTGAGCATTCTGGGAAATGTAGTAAATTAAAACGAGGAGCTGGAAAGTCACAAACAAAAATGAAACCTATTTTTAGTTAGCATTACATATGTACTTATCAGACCCCTACACCTTAAACCAAACTAGCTGTATTAACTAGTGCTTGATGCACCACACAATGTGGTTCATACATATTTAATGCTCTGAACTTCCATATTAATGCAGGTTTTTGCACCATGTTTTTTTTCTCTCACACTGTTTGCATTTAATCACTGCTGCACTTTAAGGAATGGTAAGGTTATGAAAGCTGTACAAAATGAAATGTTGTTTTGTATACAAAATGACAATACATTGGTGAAGGTTCTCAGTCTTCAGGGTCACTCCCCCAAAAAAAAAAAAAAAAACAATTAAAAACAATCCACTGGACTTTGTTTCCAAGTTTGAAGACGTCCCATCCAGGAAGCTTTTCCTATTAAAAATGTCTGGAATAGCTTTGAGTTTGAGGTTTTATACAGTAGCCCAACAAAGCCTTTTTTTTGTTTTGAAAACTTGCAAATTGGAACAGAGGAAGGGGTCCACCCCTTTAGAATGGGGCTCATTTGGCTTCTTTTATTAGACTGCAATACCCCAGACAAAAAGACACTTAGGCTACGTTCACACTGTAGGCCTTGATGTTCAATTCTGATTTTATTGTGAAATCCATTTCCAAATATATGCCACTTGTATGTGATCCCCTGTGTGAACTGCAGTCATACAACGCAAATGTCCCACATGCGCAGTAGAGGACGCAATGACATCACAGGCCAGCTGCTCTGTGTTTAGGGAAGTAAACATGGATGTAGTGCCGGAGCACATCTAGCGATCTTTCCCAACCATAAAAACACAAGATGGTTAAACATAAATACTGCTCTCCGCATTATCGTCAGTCATGGTTGTTCTTTTTCTTGCCGTTTCTTTATAGCAAGACCCAGAATGGTGACCTTTGTCGGGTATTAATGGCGTTCAGGTCGGATGAATGCGACCTGGCCGTTCAGACACAGGTTGCATTTGAAAAGATCAGATTCGTATCGGATTCAGGACCACATTGCCAAGTGGCCTGGGTCGCATTGGAAAAAAATGGATCCGTGTTGTTCAGACTGTCATGAGAAGAACAGATCCAGGTCGCATATGGGCTAAAAAAACATATTTGGGTCACTTCAGGCTGCAGTGTGAACGTAGCTTTAGATGGGTATGGGGTATTGCAGTCTAAAAAAAGAACCCAAATGACCCCCCATTCCAACTGGGGGGACCCCTTCGTCTGTTCTAATTTGCATGCTTTCAAAACAAAAACAAAGCTTTGTTTGTTTGTGTAAAACCTCAAACTTAACGCTATTCCTGTCATTTTAAATACAAAAAAAGGCTTCCTGGACGGGAAGCGAAACGTCTTCAAACTTCAAAAAGTCCAGCGGATTGTTTTTAATTTTCTTTTTCTTTTAACAAAATTACAATAGGAGTTGTCTAAGTCTAATATGCATGTGATTTGAAAATTAACCTCACTGTAAAATTCTCTTTAGATTACCTCTCTGGCTTTTTGGCTGTTATGTTAGATATATAATGCTGCTGCTAGGTGCAATGTAGAGAATATAATGAAAAAAGGTTTTGTCCTACAGACAGGTTTATGTAGGTTGTCACGTTTGCCCTGTGTACCGTGCATAAGCAAATCATTGCGTAAGCAGAATAACTGAGTCACCTACTCTAGCCCGATGGCCAGCTGTGTGCTAGATAAACAAGCAAGTAAGCATTTTGTTCATTTGCTCATTTCTCTGTGATAGATATACACCTTTAGTTAAAACAAGCATCCCTGCACACTTTGCTCTTTTCATTTGCAGCATCTCTTTGAATTGTACATTAATCTCATAGCATTTAATACCCATTGTTTCAGGTTTAATTTTATTTAAAATGTGTTTTTATTCTGGTTGTCTTAACAAAATTTGCCTCCAGGAAGGAACATGTGTTTTAAGCCACATTACAAGTCCCGACCATCTGCCACCTTTTTATACCATCTGCAAAAAGCTTCCAGCATCTTTTGGAAAGACAGACGTGTAAGCACTTTTTGTCCAAGGTCAGTATTTGGAATAAGGCAAAAAATACTGGATTCTACTGAAGTATACATTGTATTTAGCTGAATACGTGAGCCATGATTACACCAAGAACTAATACAAAGAAGATAACATCAACATCAGCCAATATCAGCAGGAAATATAACTCCATTTGAGAAACTTTTGTCCTTTAAAGATGAACTCTAAATTCTTTTTTTAATTTCTTTCTGTGTTGAAAGGTTGTTGTAGGTTTTTCTTTACTTTTTTTTTCTTTGAATATTTGTTTTCTTTTTGCATAACCTTTCCAAAACGTTTGAATTAAGTCAGAATGGATTGAAAACATCTGGAAACAGGATTTTTCTACTGTTACAAACGTTATTTTTAACTGTGCACAGGTGAGAAGCTGCACTGCACTGACAATAAAAAAGCTCTTCTTCCAAATCCCAGCAGTTATGATGCTGCAAAAATGTCCATGTTAAAAATGTAATCTTTATTTATTACTCACAGACAGTGCTCCCTACCAAACACGTTCTGATTTAAAATCAAATTTTCTCTTTTAGTGTCTAGTCAGGAGAAATGAAAGGCTAAGGTCTTTTGTTTTTTTGCCCCACAGCTCAGCCATCGCATGGAGTCACCTTGATGAATCAAAGGTTTTCATCCCTGAAAATTTTAGGTATGGGAGGGGGCTCTATCTGAAGGTGGAGTGCTGGTCAATACCTTTCTTTAGGACTCAATTATTGTGCTGGAGGCGTCATGTGGAAAATTACAGTGATACCTCTGCCTCACAGACTAAAAGTGGTAGTTGGCTCCACAGAAGATAAGCCTGATAACTAAAAGATCTGCCTCTCATTCTACTTTTAGGAATTCTAGGAACCACTAGTAAACCTGAAAATTAAAGGTATAGTGGAGGGTTTTCTTTTTCCGGGTGGATCATCAAAATAAGTGGTCCTCCTGATTGTCCATCATTCTGGTGATATGTTTATGTAAGGCCGTCCTACGTGCTCGTCCCCATTTTATTTACCATTGGTGAGTCTGACATAGTGGAGAAATTGCAAATCTTCATCTGGAAAGTAAGCTTGTATGAGTGATGCAGACAGCTACATTTAAACAGAGCGTGCATAAGGAGAAATGGGCTCATGCAACCTTGTCTTCAAGACATGCCTGTAATCTATGTAATGGTTTAGCTTCATCTGGATTTATAGAGACATATATAGCTGGGTATCATCAACATAACAAAGGGAATTAATCCCATGCTGTCTAATAATTCAACCAACTAGGAGCATATATATAGTAAAGAGAATTGGTCCTAGCGCTGATCCCTGTGGTACTTCACAGGCAATCCTGGAGAATGAGGAAGATTTATCATTAACGTGAACAAACTGAAATCGGTCAGATGAACAACATTTAAATCAGCCTAGTGCTGTTCCCCTGATTCCTACAAAACGTTCAAGCCTTTACAAAATAATATTATGATCAACTGTGTCAAATGCAGCTTTGATATCAAACAGGACAAGTACAGATACAAATCAACTATCTGAGGCCATTAGAATATCATTAGTGACTTTCACCAGAGCTGTTTCAGTGCTATGATGAGCTCTAAAGCCAGACTGAAACTCTTCAAGAAATTAAAATTGTGTAATGTGGTCGCTGCTTTATGAAGGGTCACCTTGTCTTGACCAAGTTATCTGGGTGCAGATAAGGTTTCATAAGTAAAGGTTTATTTAAAGCTAGTTTAAAGTCCTGAGGTGCACATTCCTGTAATAGGAATAAGTTAATCAAATCTAAAATGAAATCAGAGGAGATACTTTCTTAAATAACTTGGTTGGAAGTTGGAACTGGATCTAACTTAAGAGTTGAAGGCTTAGATGAAGATAATAGTTTTGCTAACTCTGTCAATTTCAAATCAATTTGATCAAAGCAGTCTAAACCTGATTCAGATTTTATGGCTACCTCAGATGTTGCCTCACCTTTCAGAGATAAACCAATCATAGATAGAGGAGTGCTAATGATCTTATTTTTAATTAGATCAATCTTTTTTATTAAGAATCCCATAAAATCATTACTGCTAAGAGCAGGTGGAATGGATGGTTCCACAGAGCTATGGCTCTGGGTGAGTTTGGCAACTGTATTAAAAAGATATCTAGGATTATTCTTATTCTCCTCTATTAATCAGGAGAAATATGCTGCTCTTGCTTTACGAAGGGTCATTATATATAGCAGTCAATGTATTTTTTAGACTAGGTAGGAATCATGTAGAGCGGTATTTTCTCAATGCAAAGAAAATGCTTCAAGTGACACAGTGAGTATAAATAATAGAAAGATAGAGCAAAGTGGCATGGCAGGT